GGGGAGAGGAGGGGCTGGCCGGTGCCTAGGGGACCCTCTGGGCACACGGCCGGACAGCTGCCTCTATGTCCCCGTGGTGGCTCGGGGCACATTTCTTCCGTTTCCAGATTCCAGACCTGCACTGAGATCGCAGCCAGAGACATCTCTTCCCCGAGGCCACCGAGGGTCTCTCCATGTCTCATACATGGCGACCACGTGGCACTTTCAGGCGTGCCCACCAGGGCTCGTGGCCGAGTCTAACCTCGAAAACACACGCGCCCTGGAGGTGCTCCAGACAGGCTTCAGTGCAGGGGCGGGAGGGCGCAGAGGGACACGCTGTGGTGGGACCTGCCCCACTGGCTGCCTGGGGCTCATACGGGCTGGCATGGGGACGATCACGTGGCGGGACCACAGGGCTGGGAAGGGCCTGTGAGAGGGTGGGGGCAGGCCTCCAGCACACGCAGCCCTGGGGACCGCAGCGGGTAGGACCTCAGACCCGCGTGCTGCCCGGCCCATGGCAGGGCTGGGAGAGGAGCTGAGGGGGAGGGGCCCTCTGTGGAGAGAGCCTGATGTCAGACCAAACCACACCGCGGCATGCCAGCGCCGGAGGGCTTTGGGGACTTCCGACTGGACCTCGCGCCTCTCCACAAGCCCTCGTCCCCACACCACCTCACCACCCACAGCCGTGGGGCCCACCCGTCCCCCACCCCCCGCTGTGGCCTGTGGTGACGTTGCAGGCTCCGTGCAGGACCGGGAGCACGCCAGTGAAGACTGACGGCGGCCGCAGAGGCCAAGGGCCTGGGGGGCTCTGAGCGCTCAGAACCTGCCTTTTGTCGCGGCTGATCAGGCGACGTGACGACCACCGTGTTGCAGACAGTGAGGGCGATGAAGAAGTCGAACACGTCCGACAGCTCGGGCGAGAGGAGGGCCAGCGGCTGCTCCTGGTGCCGGGTGACGGACAGGCGGCGGACACACTCTCTCACCTTCTCAAGCAGCTTCGGGTCGGGCGTGACGTCCTTCTCCTGCCAGGGCATGGTCGTGACACATTTTCCTGTCTGTCTACGCAAAGACGCATCCCGATGTCCTGCCGGCCCGGTGCCGTGGGCCGTGATGAGGCAGCGGCCGAACGGCTGCTCGGAGGGGCTGACCCGGGAAGGCCCCGGTGCACAGCCGGCCTGGG